GTATAAAAATACATCTTGAAAATAGTTCGCGGTACTCGCTGCTTCATTTGACTCGGACCGGCCAGCCGACCCCAGCAAGCTCGGTGGTCGAGTGGTTAAGACATCTGCACTAGTAAGCAGGAGATCGTGGGTTCGAGTCCCACCCGAGTAAGCTTGTGAGGTTTTTTCGCAAGCTCTCGGACAAGCGCTGAGCATACAGTGCTTATTAATATACGTTGGGTAAGGGCAAACCTGTTATATATAAGAGATTTTTTGGAAAGGCTTCCAAAATTTGAGTCCATATTTTCGAAATTCATAACCGAAACGTGACAACCTGTATCCTCTTGAGTGTTACTAAACATTACTTCCTTGTTTTACCTTTCCCTTCTTTCTGAAAAGGGGAACGTTCGCATCCGGGGCTTTTGAAGTGTTACTCCGCCGTTCTGTGATGTTATGTAGCCACAAGCAGACTGTGGCATACTTCGCATAATTGGATGAAATCAGTTCAGAAATTAAAAACAAATATGTAAAAATATTTCTTCTTGTTTGCTTTTTGCTTACACATCGTGCGTCCTTGGGTACATTGTAGAATTTAGTTTAATCTCAATTTTTGTGGAATACAGTTCCGTTTGATCGCCTTTGAAAGGGGGGGGGGGTTCTGAGAATCAACTGTTTGGTATATGAGGGTTGACTACCTGTAATGACTTTCGACTGAAGAAGCCACGCAGAATGCAATCGCGTGAGTTGTTAAAGTCCTGGGCTTCACGGTTGTGACATCGTAGGCTATACATAGACTGGCTTAGATAATAATCTTCCATGCCAGTTGCTTAAATGTTTAGTCGTGAGAATTAAGTCTCTTTTGAGTTGTGAGTTCTGAAAGACACGGGGGAAAAGCGAACTATACCCCAGAAACCACCACTAAAAACAAGTGTAGCAAACTCGCTGTGATTGTGTAGGTGTCATTTGACATTGTTCTGTGCACCTACTGGAGGCTTTATTTGTTACTCTGAAGAAATTTACATTTTCCATTTAATTTAGAGCTTTTACTCTTACCACATGGTTGCTAAAAGTTCCATCCTTCCATAACTAACTACGGTCACTCTTTCGTTTCTATATCAGTCAAGTGGCATGAATTATGACATAAAAATATGGATTTTTTAATAATAAAAGGAAGTGACTATTTACCGTCTCGTCGGCCAAAAATGTAAATGCAAAATATGAATCTGAATTGTACGAGGTTAAAACTACACGAATGTTTAGGTAAATGCATTGTGTACGTTCTCCCTATTTCTACTTCTCTGCCTCCCTCTTCACATCAACACCACCATGCGCCTTTCTCTTTTCCCTTTTCTCATCTCTCTCAGAAATCCGCTGTCCCATTTCTTTAATCGTTTCCATGTCCTCTTACACTCTTGCTTATTGTCTGCACTTCACCCCTCTGTCATTTCTCTAATAAACCTTTACACTCTTCCTTGTTTTCGCCCTTGTCACCGTTTGGACCGTTCGCCTTCCTCCACCTCGTGTGTCCACTCAACCAAAATGTTCCTGGTTCGCAGTTTCTTCCATGCCTTCTTTCAACGCTACGACACTCACTCTGACACCCAAGTTTAATCAGTATCGGTTAGCCACTACTAGCCGTATTTGCCGGTTAACCTACCCTCAAAAGGAATCCCGGGTTCCGGGCAAAAGTTGACTGATGGGTGTCGGATCACACTTGACCAGGGATGGAAATATTTCAAATTGCCCACTTCTCTCAGAAATCACATCGTGCAAAATGTTAAGTTTGGAATTTCACTTCTCTTGTCACTCTTTGGAAATGTATCATGAAATTTGTAGACAATCTTTTTCAGACTCCCAAACTCAGACGGGCTGTTTTGAAATCGTATTGCTTCAATTTGTTTCTAAACATGTCCAAAATGTCAAAAAATGTCCAATATGTCATGTCAAAAATATGTCCCTTACAGCCAACTGTACATCCATATTGTCATAGATGTTGGTCACCTATTGTTACAGTTCAGTGGCGCGTATCCAGGAACACCCCAACCCAACGTGGCAAACAGGTTACATTTGCAATACAGAGGTTGTCCACTCCTAATCTATTCTCTCTTTACCCTCTGTCTCTCTCTCTCATCTTTTCAAGCTGCTTTTATTCCCAAGTCCCAAGTTTATCAACACGATTCGATAAACTGAATATGTAATTTTAATACACTTAAATACCAGTTAAATATGTACGCTACGCTACAGTTTCTTTACGTCTACCTTTCTCATAAACAATAAATAAGCTATAAATAACGGTAGGGTTAGAAAAATATTACAGGAAAGACGATAGACATTCAGAGGCTAATCTGTACCAGTTCGGTGATATACATTTTGCGGTATAACTACGTTCCTTCATTCGAGGTACATTGGCCCGTTTTCGCCCGAAAGACTATTCATACAATCTGCTTATCCCTCGCCCAGTTTCGTAATGTTCGAAATTCGTTTCGGTGTGAAATGGATGCACCCTCTCTCCTTCAAAGGTGATAACTTTTTTCCATCCAGCAACATCAATTCCTGTGCTTTAGACGTCAAATGTGTTTACATTCTGTATAATTTTGTTATTTTTTTATTTTCATTCATCTCTGTTTTCCTTTTCCAAACACAACTGGCTGTGACAAAATGCATATCTTTTACCCTGCAATCAATTTCAGCTTTCAAGTAAGAGGGTTTTTTATATTGTGCCACTTGGTGATGCTAAACAAGATCTCCCTTTTTGCACTCTGGCAAATTTAGTCCAAATATGCCTCAGTCAACTTGTGTTTTGATGTAAGCCTGTATAAACATTGAGTTGAAAACCAAATTTTACCGCGGGGAAAAAGTCGACTGGTAGCTGACAGATTAGCTACCTAACTCTGCATACATTTTATCACAGTGCCTGAAACTAAGAAAAAAACTGATTTTTCTCATAAATGAGCAGATCGTGGTCATTTTCTGTAGCGAGTTTCTCCTGCATTAACGTATACGGCGTTAAAGTGTGCATTTTTTGCAGCCGCAGGAGTCTGGCTCCGGAATGTGCACCGGATAACTTCGGCCCATGAGAGCGTTCCCAGACACATCGTAGCAGTCGGTCAATATCATCTCCTGGGGTACCAACCTTTCTTCTCGGCAGCAAGTGCAATTCTGTTGGGAGGAAAGAGAGAACGAGTGAGTCCATGCAGTGAAATGAAATTACACGTGTGCTGTACAAAGGAGTGGATTAGAGGGGCACCAATTAATGTCGTTAAGTATGCTTTCGGTACATATTACGAGCTGGTCCAAGGTAGAAACCAGTCGCCCAGTAAATAAATGGTGTTTGGAAGATGGGTGCTTTCAAAAACTAGAGCGGGTATGTTGCGCAATGATTGTAACAACCATGAGATGTATATACCGGTAAAATAAGGCAAATTAGCTGTATTTGGATAATGATATTGCTGTCGTCGCTGTGGCTGCTTTTCAATAATAATAATAACAAGAATAATCCAAGAAGTTAACCCCACTTTGATTCAGAAGTGCTTAGATGTTAATCGTTCATTGTTTCTTTGCTCTAGTTTGGTTCATCTGTTAGTTGATTGAATCACTGGAAGTCTATGTCCCACTGCGTCCAAAACAGATTATTCTGCTTCAGTTTTTGGGTTTTTTGGGTGTCGGGCATCAAAGTCAAGTTTATGCTGTGCTGTAAAGGAAGATTTCGTTTATAAGATGTGATGTTCAGAGGACTGCCTCAAGTTGCCCACCTCCACTGATCAGTGGCCAACATGCAGTTAGCGGTTTACAATCCAGACAGTTGCACTTAGTGAGAGTGAACATAATTTGCAGTTTGCCCGTAGTCAGAGGTATTGTGGGTGTGTTTGTTACCTAGCGCCTCTCTGTCACTCATCCATTAAAAACAGAAATCCCCCATAGCATGGCCAGCGCTGGTCCGTTGGGTATTCCTTATGACATCTCCCACGTCAAAATTGAGTCGATTGTGCAAAGCCAGTTACCAAATCAGCGCTCGCTAATTGCTGTACTTTTGTAATTCTATGCACATCTCAGCATTCTGTTCTACCCACGCTTTAATCGATCAACCACCATTTGGGAAGGCGAGAGAGGTTTGCGACAACGTTTGGCTCGTTCACGGAGGTGTGTGGTGACACGGTGTGTGTGGACGGGGTCTGTGACCAGTGAACGCTTGGGAAGACGGGGAAGCCATTAACACAGTCACGGGGGTGGACAAAACCGATAGGCAGGACATGATTAATTTAATCATAGGAATTGGATATTGCCACAGAGCTGCAAAGAGCATATGAAGGCGTTCGGCTGGGATTCGAACCCATTGCCGAGCATCTGTCTGCAATCAGCCCAGACGTATCACACGCCCGACGTCGTGGGAAATAGTGGGCTTGTAGCTGGTGGCCCTTTTCATTGATCGATCAAGCTGTTTCATTTGAAGAATGACTCTTGACTCCACCCCCACCCCATGCTTGTGGATATCTCACTGAGCCTCAGTTCGAGTACCGGGATTGTCTTGGTCGTCTTGGCGTTTGGAAACATGTTTGGTTCCATCGTCCATGTTTTTCTTGTGAGTTACCGGACAGCATTGCCCACGTGCTGCTCATAAAGAGGGGGAAGTACAGCTTGGGAAGATCTGGAAAATTCCCGGTCATTTTGATAATTAGACGGTCTAATCAGACTCAATACTCTTGCTTTTTAGATGGAGATCTTTCTAGGTTTGTTTACCTGTAGGCCATTACAAAATATTATAATAATAATATATTATAAAATGTAATATTGTCACGTAAGTTTAGATAAACTTATTACAGCCATTCCGGCGCCCACATCTTCCGTGCAATTTCACAAGTTCTAGTCTAGTCATTGTAGTCGATCTTCGCGCGTTGTACTTTGGCCGCAGCGATCAAGCGATGGCGTTATGTAAGCTGCTTTTGCGTATTTCGCGCACCGAGCAACCGTGTCAGTAGCGGTACTGAGGAGAGCGATAGTGTTGATAGCCGGTTTCAAAGCGTGGTCTCAAGTTCCAGGATCGATGGAACGCCCGCGGGAAGCCATTGCTCATAGCCACTTTAGAGATGACCAACTCCCAATCGCCGATCAGGGATGGTGAAATAACGTCACTGTCCCGAGGCGAACACCGTTCGTCTCAATGCTTCCCAAAAAATGAGTTACTGATTGCCTGAGGGCTGTTAAAGTGTTGCGGAGCTTTTTTTTAGCATTAATTGCAGAGAAGAGACGTGTTTTTCAAAAGGTCCGTGCAAAATACGCAAGGTTTGCTCAATTTGCCTATTCCCTATGCTCCGAAGAGTTGACTTATACTTGCCCACTGCATTCTGATTCTAAATGTTAACGCCTCGTTTGTAAAGTTATCTTGGTTTACTGGGTTTCTACACAGTTGTGCTCTTGTAAAGTAGTTGGTAGGCTTGTGGTGTTACCCGATCGTAGAGTCGGTGGTCTGTGTCTCATATCGTTAAACGTAGGTATGATTTACGCATATCAGTTGTCAATCGTCAAACTCCTGAGCGTTGAAGTCAAAGGAAACGGCTGCCATGCGTAAATTTCACACAGGTCGTTTGCAACAGTGCTGTCAGCTTTAAATCATACGCAGGGTCACGTACTAGACCAGCCTCCCCCCCCCCCAAAAAAAACAACTTGCAATTCTTTACCCCAGTTGCGTCACAAATGTTCCCAAATATTTGCCATGGACGGGCCGCTCGACTTGTTTACCGCGCGCCGTGTCGACAGCATGCGTGGATTCCTCTTTAGGGTACGGGGCGCATTCGGCAGCTGCGGGTCAGTGAAAGTGGGTTTCGCACTGTTACCCAAGGGGTGAGACAGCCTGAGCACGATCACTTTCGACTTCTTTTGCCAAACTTGTCTCGGGCTTAAGAATATTAAGATGGTTGACCGGGTGAAACGTGCTTCCGGGAAGCAAGTGTTTTTTTGTTTGTTTGTTTTTTTGGTGTTTTTTCTTTTCTTTTCTTTTTGTCCACCTGAAGAGGAGAAGGAAGTACGTGGTACTCCTGATTGTGGAAAGGAAACACACGAGTTTTATTGTTTTAGGATGGGGCTGTTTTCAATTTTCATGTGATAAACAAACCAAGGTTTGGGGACCTCACGTGAATTGCAATTGCTCTCAAACGTGGTTCTCATGCCCGTTTGAAGATAACTACGTGTTCCACGTTAAATACATTATCAACGGTCGGTAGTCTAATATTGAAATATTCCTTAACTTGTGTGGAAAGAAAAAAAATTAAGTGTGCTGAAGTAGAAAAATATCGATAGCACTACAGGACACCACAGAGTATAAAATGGAAAAACAAATCTTGCTTACAAGTCTCCCCCGTACTTGTTCCATACGTGAACAAACGTCATCCTTAAAATTCATTCAATTACCGGTACACGAAAACTTGAGACTCAGCAGCAAACTACACGCGCCTCCGCGTCATACAAGAAATGAATAGCGATGCCTGCAGCTCTGTAAGGCTCTTACACTTGCTCAAGAGATTAGAGAACATGAAAGTGGGAAGTGTGCGTTTTGTTTAGTTTTGTTTTGTTTTCCATTTTTTATGTCACGGACGTCGTGGTACCCACCTTATGCGTCAACACAGTACGAAAATTCAATAATGTGTTTGGAATTCATCACTAGGAGCAATTCAAAGATGATTTTCCTATCTATTTTCACAATATGTGCCCCGATATTGTTTTGATTTTTTTTTTCAAAGTTTTGATGAGTAGATTTATATTTCTTGTTAAAAGTCAGTTTGAGGAGAGACGCCAACGACGTGAAGTCAACGGTAAAAGCCTATGGCACTTGTGGGAGCTGAGCTCTTTATACAGAGCTTTCACACCAACGAGTGAAAAGACCTTGTCAAAATAAAAGCGCAATTTAAGACCGAGAGAACATCAAAACGGTAGAAGTGAATCACTTTTAGACTCAAGGCCGCTTATGAATGGCACGTGATGCCGGGATTTTGTCGGTTGGCGCAAAATCCTGGCCCTAAAGGGCATACGACATTATACAGAAGCAAAGCGGGCGCGATCCGCCCAAAATCACAAGGTTCCGGTAGAGTATCTTATGCTCTCTCCATTTCTGTCAAGACTACATCGCCGGGTGCCGAAGCAAGTGTCAACCTTGAAAGTACAATTAACCAATTGCACCACGTTACCCGGCTGACAAATTAGTTTTCAAGACCGTGTGACTCTAAGTGCCATCTTCCACCGTTTTTTCTTTTTTTCTTTCTTTTTTGGTTGTCACAGAAGTTAGAGTGCACATAATGCACCCGTGTAATTTGTTTTACAGAATCATTTAAGCCTGGTTTCCATATCAACGTAAAGATATGCAGAGAGCATCGTCGATCAATGCCCGATGGTACGCGATGATACGGAAACACTGTATAGTGACTTACGCAAACATCCACGCAGACAGTCGGGAAAGTTGGATCAGGTTCACCTCTGCCGATTGTCTGCGTTCAGTCGCAAGGGAAGGCACGCTCGCGGATGACCAGCAGCGTACAATGACGTCTCTCTCGCTTATAGTGCCGCGCATTTTGTTTTTTTTTCTCCTTGTTACTAATATGCAGCCCCAGCCATCAACAAATTAACAAAATACATCAAACTGCAGTAATTTTTCTGGCTTCAAGAGGCGGTACTGCCACCTCGAAGTGTCATTTTGTGTGAAAATTGTTTGAGTTTCGGTCGCCATTTTGTTTTAATTTTGGTGGTGGAATGACGTCACGCAGCATCTCTTCCGTGTCTGTCGCATGCGTCTTGGCGTCTCGCTTGCCGTCGGTGTTTGTTACAATCATATAGAAACAAGGCTTTACTGAATATTCAGACTTTCCACTTAAATGATGCACGTAAAGACAAGAATGTCCGCTTGTACATAAGATTGTTACTTTGTTGTTTTCATCTTTTGGCGATCTTCCGGAAATTGAAATCTGAAGACACATAATACAACGCAAAAAAGGAGGAGTGTTTACCAAATGAAATCCCGTTGCTTCAGAAAGACGTGGTACAGATTTGGAAATGCACTGCCCTTCGCAATGCCTGACGGTGGCTGTCCCCCTGCAGTAGACCACCTCCCCTCGGTCTTCGTCTAGGAACTCCTCCTGGACTCCGATCGAGCGGACCCCCGCCGCACACGTGCTTACCGGCGCCCCTCTCCCGCCGCTGACTTTCTGCGGGAGCAGATCCAGGCACAGGGCGCAGCACAGCAGGAGGACGGCGGCCGTGGGATAGTTCAGGGGAGCCATGTTGAACAGGTTGAGGACCTGGAAGCGTGAATACAGAAAGTATAATTCATTGAGATGCAAATGCGTTGCTTAGTGCCTGGCGATTTGTAATCTAACGCCGCACCTCCAATATTAAAATGTCAACGTCTCCAAGTGTTACAATACCCTTCTTTTCGCTGCGGGCACAGTATGCAGATGCAGCAGTCCTGTTATGCAGCTCTCGGTCTGTGATTTTGTTTTCAGCATGTTATATTCAGATAGCTGTTACATGACAACCCTACAGGGCACCGAGTTATAATACATCAAAGTGCAAGAATGTTCCTGAGCTCTATACAGTCGGCAGAACAACTTTCTTGTTTCTCAGAGTTCAAAACAAACGTAGCGCAAACAATTTATGTGTACAGTGTAGATGTTAATTTCAAGAATCCTCGGCCACTTTTTTTTCAGCATTCCTCAGTTACTCCTGTCCTGCGTATAATACTTACGGCAAGGCGTACAAACAACTTCTCTCAGGATGATTGTATTCGGAGTCGAACAGAAATCAGTCTCGCGAGTATCATTCCGTGGCATCGACCCATTTTTTATAAAGAAACCGAAACGGATGTTTATTTTCGAAGCAGACTGTTGCGAGGTCCGTCTTTGGCTAATTCAATTATTTCGTGGCTGCACCCGGACACTTCCGCTTAAAAAGTGATATCATACCCGCATTTAGGGAACTATACAATAACAGCGTGTCAAACACTCAAAGCTGGCGCGCCTCCTTGTCATCAATGTGTGTGTGTTTTTTTTCTTCTGGGATTCCTATTGGGTAGTTTTTGAAAGCGTGTTGGGTTGCACGTCCGCCCGGTACCGGTCGATTTTTCGCAAAATTATGATGGTTTGCGCTTGTCCATGGGTTTGCTGATTGTTTGCCTCATATTGGCAAAAAGAACCCTCATGGTGTTGACCTAGCGACCACGGTTATCTTGGAGTTGCGGGCTTTGCGCATGTTCGGTTTTCTGTCCTAATAACGAGGTCATCATCACGTCAACAGTGGCGTAGCAAATGTGGCCATGCCCCTAAGGAGTTTCTCTATATAAATACTGGATGATATGTGAGGGCGTCTGAAACAAGATCATTGTTAATGACGTGTTCTTTATTTAAGCACAGATCACGGGATGTTTCTTTAGGATGCCTTCAGTTTGGTCAAGGAAAGTGGTTTTAAAGCTATTCTACTTCTGATACTTGTCTACCTGTTGTTCTGAAACAACTGTAATTGAAATAATTCGGTCAAACTTCAACTACCTTTACCTAATTGTAATGCTGAAAGGGGCCTATAAGTCTAACCTGTTTCCACTTTCATTAACATGTCACAGTGTTTAAAAAAAGTCTAACAAATGTCGTCATATTGTCCTTGTTATGGTCGGAATGACATCACTTGAAGTGCGCTTGAAGTGTGAAGTCGTGCGCTGAACTTCAGCGTGCACGTAGACCACTTGATGAATGTTACTTAGGACATTTGATACGCGGTTAAATGACCCGAGTTGAAGGGTCTAGAGTTTATCGAGGCAACCGTACGTGCTGCATGCTGCTTTTTGTGTGACGGGATTCCCCAGAAATGACTCAGGCGGCAGGAAGGAAGATTCCTCGTGAACTTCGGTCAGCATTAAAGTCGCACTGTTTGATGACGCTGGAAGGCAGTGGCCTAGCCAGCGGGGAAGGGGGGAAGAGTTTTCCCCAAGATGTGTTGCAATTGTTTAAACAAATTGAAAGCAATTACACTTTTGAATAGGGCACCACCAATTTTCTTGGAGGAGGGGCAGGAGGGGAGGATTTTCTCTACTATGAAAATAAAATTAGACTGTCGTTTATAGGCAAGATTCCAGCCCCCCCGACCCAGAACCTGGATACGCCCTGTTTCATTCTAATGTCCATTTTCCTATTCAATTGTGATTGCATATTAGAAAGAAGCACGGTTTGTTTATTCGCAGAGTTTTAAAAAGAAAGAGAGAAAGAGCTTCGAACTTTATCAGATTAGAATGGTTTCGAATGAAGTTGTACGTGTGGCTAGACGCTCAATCCCATTATGCCTGAAGACAGATTCTTGCATGTGTTTACTTCGGAGGTTCCAGTGGTGGCATTGAGCATGGCGCCAGTTAATGCTCAGGACGTATTCATGAACAAGATTTTTGACGCCCAAAATAATGCAGCAGTTTTTGCCACAGAGATTGGTCGTTGTCGGTAGTTCCGCGATTACATCCCGAGATTCCTGCGTATTTTACCAAGTTACTTGTCATTCCTAAAGTATTAATGGCAATTAAAATGATAGCCAGAAAGATTTGTTTTGGAAAGCTTCTACAGGATCAGAAACAGGTCATTTAAGTAATCGCGAGAGTATGATAGGGATATGTAGTCTTCACACCAGCTTGGAATCCTTTGGTGATAAACCTCACTGTAAAACAAGTGTTATTAATGATTAACACCTTTTAAACGCCTTCCCGGTAACACTTTGCGAACATGTTGCGCAACGCAAAGCCAAACACGTTGTGGTGTTCATTTTTAAACAAATGCGTGTCAATGTGTTAATAAGTTCAGGCACAATGACTACACAACACAATGACAAAAAAACTACTTTTATCACTTTCTGAACACTGAAACACGTTCAGTTGCAGTAAACAGTTAACGCAAAGACACGTTTTTGATAGGCATAGCTATCCGGGTTTTATAGAGGAAACCTTTGTTCAGTTGTATATCAGAGGTGGTTCTGAACGCTCGTTTATATTGCTGATGCTCGCTGCATTCCGCCGGTGTTTGTAAGTATTGGCTACGGTCTGTAAGCCCACATTTCAGTGTTGCTGGTGCCGTGTGACCGGAGATAATCGAACCGCCCCTCACAGTTCACCTTGAGTGCAGCATCGCAGGGACTCGATCACCTGTTCCCATAAGGTTATGGTCCGGCGACCACTCCCTCGGTCGATTTGCCTTATAAAAGAGATGTGATTCTTTTGCTTGAATTGCTCTTGACCTTCACCTTCAAGAATGATATCTTCTTAACAAGATCGTAATCTAGCAGATGCTTGTTTGTTGGCGATATTGGGTTTAGAGAAGATCAAGGGCATCTTATTTACCTGGCAACTTTGTTGAAAACTCTGTTGATGTGTGTTTAACCCTTCCCCCAGGGTTTATGAGGAATCATATTGAAATTCGAGGATTTGGGACTGTTAAGGTTAAAGGTCTTTTAATTTTTTTTTGGGGGGGGGTGTTTGAAAGAGGCCCTCTAAGTGATATCTCTTCACGTTTGACTGGTTACTACCTCCTCCATGCCAAGGCACCCGGTGTCACATCCAGTGACATACGCGCTTTCACTTGCTGTTTAGACACAAGGTGCGGCCGGGGTGTGTTCCAGCCTTGCGCGTATCGATCCCGCCCACATAGTGGACATCGCCACTTCCGGATTCAGGCAAATCATCGAAGCCCAAGGAGCTCTCAAATTGCCGCTCCAGGTACCCACATCTATCTTCTCGGTTGGGAAGCCTGCCATTGCTGGCAGCTTCTAACCTTGCCAAATCATGCCACGAGGCAGTCCGCATTACGCCTCCAGACTGTAACATCACCCATAATATCTCACGCTGGAATATTTTTTACTGCTTTTCGAGTAATGTGAAACTATGAAGATAAATACCACCAAAGTTTGGATCAAAAACATTTTGGTCATTGGGTATTTTTTTTCCTGTTCAGAAAATGAAAGCAGCCGTAAGTAATGACACTGCATCTTGGTAAAAGAAAACTTGCCAAGCCTAATAGCTTAATAGTGCGTGACCTTTTGAAAATTAGCTGGATGTTTCCACAAGTGAAATGAGATTGTTTGCCTCTTTTTTCTTTTTTTCTTTTTTTTTCAGTGTTTTGTTAGTGACTTAGAGTGAGTGGTCAATCCTACGAAAGCGTCTTTTCAGTGAATAAAGAAAGGTCAATGTTTTATCCACGGGAAACCTTAACAACTGTCGTGGTGTAACAGAATGTCAACATTAGTATTTTTTTTTCTCCCTGCCGAGACAAATTCAGTGGTCAAATGGAAAAGTGAGATAACCAGTTTTAAAATGGCCCAATTCTTTTAGGTACCACGGGCCGCTGACCAAACAACCAGCCTTTAGTTTACGTCAGGTGAAAAAATAGGACCAGAAATTCGCAGAAATTGCCAATTACACCTGTGATTGCCCGCACCCTTCTTCCCAACCCAAAGAAATAAATACCATTTTCTCAAACTTGGTTTGCTGCTCACCCATAGTTTTTGAAGTAAAACCCAAAGCCCTTGTGAACCAACACAGAAGGGGGTTCTCCTTGGTTTAACGGAGCAAGGTGATGATATGTTTATTTCCGCTCCTTCATCATCAGTTGGATACAGAGTTGGTGTCAGCAGTATGGCAGTTCAGACGGTGGGGTGGGTCTGATGGGCCCTAGGGCTGGATATAGAGACCTGGTAATTGCATACGCAAACACCGGGTTGGGCTGAGTAAACGCATAGTGATGAAACGGATACGCGAAGCCGTAGCAGTACCATCGCCTGGTACTTATTGCAATATGATATTTCCTTTGAGATCCAGATCACCCAATGGAAGGTCGGATAAATTGGCAATCTTGTAAGAGCTCTGTGCGCACTACCCCTGGCCCGCTTCACCCGCTGGCAACTTGTCAGATTGGGTGGCCAATTTGTCTTGGGTTTCCTACGCACGCGGCTGCGGCACATCTGACAGCCGTGCGGGTTTACCTTCATGTTGTGCGTCAGTATGTTCGCTCATTCAGAGAAAGCCTTCTGAACTTTCACTTCTGAAGCGAATGAGGATTATCAAATTGTCAATGCCAAAATACCGGATCTTTCTTCCCTTTTAATATAGCAACCTTGCCAACATGTTCGGTCAGTGTAGTTTCAGATAAAACATTTCAGCACATACTTGAAACACTGCAAAAGTTGGACTATTATACATCCTGTCACATGACATGTACTATACAAACGTGGGTGCATTAGTGGAGGTGCCAAGAACTGATCAAATCTTGTACCGCGG